CATTTGATTTTATTTTTCCTTTCTTGAGAAGTTTAGAGCAATAATATAATATGTTCTCTAGCCAATACGATTTATTTGTGATTTGTCCGTAGTTCCAGCTGTATGTTAATATATAAATTTTTAGAATCCAGTACTTTTTCAAAGATTTTAAATTCAATTTATTTAAAAAAAAAGCAATAGTAATAATATAATAAATATAAATAATAATTACCGTCATCATGTCAGCCATTAATTAACCGTCTATTGCTGAATATAGGCCGCTGGCATAGACTGTCACAAATAACGGTCTCGAGCCACCTGAATCCATTACTCGATGCAACACATTTGAGGTCGTCGCTCTATCTTTCACTGACGAGGTCGCCATGAATATCTTTCTTCATCATCGATAGTCGGTTATTTAAGAATAAAACTAATCAAAGGTTCGTTATTAAAATTGAACATTTTAAATTGTTTTTGAAAGAGTTAAGTATTTGTAAGTTGTAAACAACTGTTTAGTTTCTTTTGTAATCGAAATATTCTGATTAAATTAAGTAACTCCATTTTGAACCTTTCTGAAAGTAATGGGTTGACCATTCCATTACCGAGATGCATCGAGCTGTGGGATTGTTTGAAATAGGGAATATGCAAATTCAAGTAGTATTTTACGCCTATTTGGCCTTCTTTGACTTCTAACAAATGTTATTTCTCCTCTAATTAATTTCATTTATTTTGTTAAATTTTAATTTAATTAAGTTTTTAAATTTTAGAAATAAATTAATTAGGTCAAAAGTTACATTTGAATGATTATTATTTAATCTGCATATTTACTATTTCAATATTCTATTAATAACATATAATAATATATATTCACAAACTTTCATTTTTATAATAAAATAACTAATCATATAAATATATTCTTCATTTAATAGTATTCGATAAGCTATGAAGATGGATATAAAAGCTAATGGAGTCAAAACTTAGTGCACTAAAGAATGCGTAAAGCGAGCTTCAGGCAGAAAGTTGATTTCAATGTACTAAAGAATTATAAAAAGGGCAGCGATTTTCTCGTCGTTAATAATGTTTATTACGTATTGTCGTATGATATTTGCGATGACTAGGATTTATTTAAACAATTAATTTTATTTCTACTTAAATTAATTAGAAACTGTGAAAAACAAAAATATAAGTTATCTGATAAGATACTAGGTACTCGCCATGCCCTTGAGTAGCGACTGCATCTTATGCACATATTTATTTAAATGATATTTATTTTAAAAATAAACATTTTGTACTTTTTTAAATATTCATCATTTATAGTACGAAAATTTTGCCAGTAAAAAAGCATATGGGCTTGGGTATGTGTTGTAGAATAAATAAAAAAAAAAACTTTTTGATTTAATTTGTTTGTGAAAGAGATAAAACGTAAAGCCCTTATGTTTGCCTAAATTTTTGTTTATAATCGTCAATACTGTAGAAAATTTCAGACAGAATATTAAAGAATGTTTCTTGCAGCCCATTTTTGTAATTCACGCCTTTTTCTTGTTAGTAGAGTTGAATTACCTATTTTAAATTGCAATGTGCATGACATAGGAAAAAATACAGAAAAATAACTTGTGGAAGCATAATATTACTTAGTGAAGACAATAGAAAAGCAGTCGAAGTATTGGCGGATCAAAGGCTCTATCGTTTAATATCATGTTATTTCATTTATATTAACAGATTAAGAGTATTATATAGAGTGCAATTAAATTAGCACTGAAAGTCCATTTTAACAATTAGTTGAAATGATGAAAATTATAATCATGTACAATCTCATGCTTTTTTTTTCAAAATTAAATGTAAGAATGTGTGAAATTCCGATACTGAGAAATTTTACAACGTATTTTTACTACAGTTTAAATTCACGTAAAAGTAAAAGGGTTATATTTTATTTAAGAATAGGATCCAATTGAATTAAATTTTGTATGATTTGTGTGCATTATTAATCCGACACGGTGTAGATCGCCTACCGTTTACGTATATTAATGAAAAATCTATTTCTCTGGAATGCGTGTTGATCATGCGCAGTGTCAGTTATAAATAGTGATCGATTTGGCAAATCATCGACGCAACATGAGTACAGATCTTGAGTATTCTTATGATTTAGATTTCTATTATTATTTTTCTCTTTTCTCTCTTTAAAATAATGTTTTAAATATATTTATTTATGTTCGATCTCTGCACAATACAAACATTTGTATTTATTGCGATAGTATGACTGTTTCTTTGTTTATATATGTAAATAGAACATTGAGCCTGAAAAACAGTCAACTTTTTGCCAGAAAATTTTTTAACTAGTTTTTTTATTAGTATTCTATATATTTACGAACACAATAAACCTTGATGTATCTATATTTAATTATTTAGTTAAAAAAAATGAGGTTTTGCGCATTAAAAGGTGTAAAATTAATAGGACAAAATAAATATGGAAGTTATAATCAATCATAGCTCATAGCTATTTATCACGCAAAATTGTATGAAAAAATTGACCTGCTTTTTAAAAGCATTTATATGGAGACACTCTATTTATAGAATCTAAGGACTGTTTATATCGGTCTGGGAGTTTTATATGTATAATATATATGTATGTAAGAAAAAAAACATTTAATTACTTTTGTCAATTGTCTAGTCTTACCCATAGTACAAGTTCTGCTTAGTTTGTTGATGAACATTTTATTGCTAGCCTGTCTATTAGAACAAAATATTATATTCTTCTTTGTTAACAAACGGAAAATTTCTAAATTATATTATTATTAAGTACTAATAGTAACATTATTATACTGAAAATATCTTTGGACCTTGAATATATATTATTTGATTTTATTCATCATATGAGACATTATATGCCCACTGCTGAACATAGGTATTTCTCATATACTGCCATAAGGAATAGTCCTGATCCACCTGCAGCTACTGATTTTCTACGATACACTTGAGGTTGTTACGTCATTTAGCGGGGGGTCGTCCTACATTGCGTTTGTATATACGGAGTCTCCACTCAAGAACCTTTCTTCCCCATCGATTCTTTGAGCTATGCGACTAGCCCATTGCCACTTTAGCATGCTTATCTGTCGGACTATGTTGGTCAATTTGATTCTTCTGCGGACTTCCTCATTTCGGATTTTATTACGCAAAGAAACTTCTAGTACAGCCCTCTCCGTAGTTCGTTGATGATACATGGATAAAAAATAGCTTACGTATTAATCAGAAAAGCTTAGATTATATGTACATGCAAATGTATATATATTTAAACTTTATGCGCATAATATCAGAAAATCTTAAACAAGCTTTTCCATTTATAACATTAGAAGATGTAGAAATAGAAAATTATTATAAGGTAACCTTGATAGTTTGTGTGTTAGAATATTATGTATCTTGTTTCGAAATGCCTGATTAATATTAAATTCGTGATAGACAATAACCACTCATTTTGGCTATAAGTTTGTGATATAGTTCATCCAGTACCAGAAAAATATACTAAATAATAAGGATTTATGAATAGAAATAATGTGCGTCTTACGAAGTCTTTCGTGATGTTTTTCTTTAACGTCACTACCGTATCATTAATATTATAAATAAGAAGGTTTATATATAAGTTAATTAAGATTATTGTTACACAATAAAACTTAACTGGTTTGAATAAAATTATTTGATTAATAATATAAATGATCTTTATTATATATTTAGATGTATCATATCTCAGAGAGCTACTAAATACTAGAATACTATAATACCCTTTTTTATAATTTATCCAGGCATAGAACTACTGCAAGTAGATTAATTTGTTTTTTTTTCTAAGCTAATAAGAATTCTTACAATTCAGATTAGAAAAAATATTTTTTGCATAAGTGATAAAAATAATATTGCTGATGTTTTTTTTTAGTCGGTGATAATGTAATGGTAACCCCGCCTGCGCTATCGGTATACGTTGGCAGAGGACCAGTGAGGGATGATAGGTGATGATGAAAGCAGATCAGTTAGTCCATCGTGACGAATTCCGCTAGATTTAACCACGATGATTTCCTGGGGGAATCACGTAAAGGTCGACCTGATATGACCTGTATTGCTGGCAATAGGTCAGTTAGACCCCATTACTAACAATCCCTTTCCTCCATATTACTGATGTTGTTATTTCATCTGTATTGGGATCTGTGTTTATAATGATTGTAGTTAACTAGCAGGTTATAAATGATATTAATTTTATGCGGATGATATGGTTTTGTATAGAAATGAGCGAAGGGAAATTAGAATACGAATCAACTCAATATTGTAGAAGCTATATACAATATCAAGTGACATAATACGAGCTGACTAGATTTACATATTTTCATACTCGTATTTATGACACACGAAGTTAAGCTTTCTGAGAACCCTTCACCAAAATGTCAAGGTGAACCCTCGGATAAGGTGGGACAGGTATGTGACGATATAAATTAGCTAATGGCATCCCTTTACATCTTTCAGTAACTTCGTTTTATTAAAATGCCCATCAAATATCTGACCATGATTCTTCTGTCCTAAAATTAAGACTATAGCCTGTTTTTTTTTGTTTAGATTTTCGGGAAAAGGCATACGAAATAATTTATAAAAATTTTTATGTTTTAGAAACGATATAAGTACTAGAGTATATCGAATACCTAGAAAAGTTAAAACAAGTGCACAGTTAAAATACGTTCACGGTCAAACAACAAGACAGAAGCACGCTCGATAGTGACATAACATAGAAACGACACACAGCATAGGAAAGGCCACGCAGCATCTCTATCTCTAGCGTCTACGTAACACGGGAACGGACGCGTCGCGGGGTGAAAACCCTTTTGCGGTCGCACAAAACCCTAAGTGACTATCTCTGAACAAGGTAAATGAGAATCAAGACAGTAGGTTCAAGGGCTAGAATCGTGGATGAAGCGCGCATTCGATGTGTATGTTCATCCTGCTCGCTCGGCGCCGTAGGCTGCGGCGCGCAGCGACGCTCCAGTCGCGGTCTGCCGGCCGTCGCGACGCTTCGCCGCCGCGCCGCTACGCGCCTCGCACCGTATCATGTGGGAGACGTGTGAGATGCATTGCTGAACGGCACCGTCGCTGTGCGCTCAGCTGGGCCCTGTTTCCTCGTAGGACTGCGCCCTCGTGCGCCCTCACGCGTCCCTTTCCTGATTTAACGCGTCGAACCTGTGTACATAGTGCAGTGTGCCACTGGGACATTGTTTTGTGTACTACCCGTGCTGATCTATTTTGAATACACTTTTCAATCGTGGGAATTGTCACTTAACGATGCTTCGGTACTTTCGAAGGTTTGCAATTTGTGTAAAGTGGTATGCTATCGATTCACTCATGTACCGGGAATGTTTTTGTTTAGATGACAGCAAGAATTGTTTCGCATGCCACGATCATTGTTACGAGTTACGACATAACGAGATAACAGTTTAATCTGAATATCACGCGGTAAAAACACGCATTAGCGCTTTGCGCAGTGTTACAAGTACCTAATGTGTAAAATGTAATTACATAAAGAATCAAGGACTCATTGTACACGAAATTATATATACTCATGCTACTGACTCCGATTTTCATTTACACGATAGATATGCGGAAGTCTGCGATTAGTATGACCTCTATATAAACGTTAAGAAGTGGTAATTAATGAATACGTAAACTATTTGTACTTTAGATACACATTATTTACTTATGGATTTTATTGATTTTTATGGACAACTTGTTGAATGTTTACTACTCGTACATTTGTTACAATACTGGTCGGATCCGAACGTAATATTAAGTACCTACTACAAAATAGAGCAAGGTGCATGCACGAAAAGTCACGAAATAATTATGTGTAATCTTAAAAACTAATAAGTACTAAAAATCATGAAAGAAATTAAAATTAAATTATTATTAATGAATGGTCATAAATGGACATATAATTTCGAAGTAGATAACTAATCATATTTGTATATAACTCGTGTATATTCTTTAGTAGTTTAAATCTCATATCATTGATGATATGTCGATTCGTTACCTATTTTACTCACAATGTGTAGTAGTGACATAGGCGTGACTTTATAATAAGTATCTAATGATAATCTAGTTCTTATTATACTCATCGAATGATTGTATAGGTATACATATTGTTTAACTATGAGAAAATTTATTAAAAAATATCTTTATTATTATCATGGCGTGGTTTGTCATGGTCATTAATACTCGTAGTTATTATTAAATAGGTATTACGTAAAAGTAATTTTTTACACACAGCTCTAACATTGTGACATGATAGTTATATGTTTTATATTCACAGTTAATTGAATGGAACGGTATATAAAATATAAAAGTACTTCAGTAGTTATCCAAGTTCTATTTTCTATTTGTTTGTGAGGGAAAAACTATTGTGTTTTTTTCTCTTGAAATGGAAAATAAACGAACCTTTCATATTTTTAGTTCGTAACCCTCATAATGTCCAGTGTCACTGGCCACGGCCATTCGATATACTTTGTAGTCGATTACATAGAAATTGCTATAAATTGTGTAGTTTGTAAGGGCGCGGCTGTTTAATCAGATCAAAAGCAGACGAGACCAATATCGATGATTGTAGTTATCCGTCCGTTTACTTTTTAATTGATCGATAGGTTTATGGTACATTATCTTTGGATGGGCACATTAAATGTTGTTTGTACATTGTGTAAACGATTTAATAAAAGTATTATGTGAACGTGTTTGGTTTTTTTGTTGTTTTTGATATGCGTTTTAGAGTTAGTCTTTTGAGTATGTATATTTATTTAAGTCACAATTAATTAAATGTGACGTAAATAAGTTGATCAAACGTGTTTTAAATGATATTGTTTTTCATCTTAATAGAAACCTACAAATATGACATAAGAATTTATAGTTTTATTATATTTATTTATTTTGATATTTACATCTGCTATTGATTTTGTAATTATGTTTCATTTATATAATTTTTTTTATATTTTATAATTTTATTGATCATTTGAAAATGTTTTATTTTAGAAATTCACAGTTATCGGGTATGTAACCAGTACAATATTTTTAGAGCAATAAACAACAGCATATTTTTATCCCATGACTCATAATAGACATGCATGTAGGTATTTCAATATGAAAATAACTAATCTACCAATCAGTATTTGATTATTGATCAAAATAATTCGAGTTATTATCAGATAAAGTAGGTATAATAATTGTTATTAATGTAAATTGATGGAAGACATAATTTTAACAGGTATTTTAAATCGCGAGAAATCATGGTTAGTGCCCAGATAAAAATTACAGCAAGTCTACCATCATCAAACAAACAAAGGGGAAGCCACAAAAAATCATGATGTGAGGAAGTGGCATACAAAATAAATTTTCGAATGTAGTAACTAGGTTTCATTTCAGAAGTACTACCAGTTAATTTTCTATGAAATTATAAACCAAATTGAAACTCTAAAGTATCGAAATTGGCTGAAACAAAAGCTTTCGCCGGTTGCTAATAATTTTTTTATTGTTAAGAAAAATTAATGAGATAATAAGCAAATTAGAAATTCACTTTCTGTAGGTAAAACAAGAGTAAGCTAATACCGTGGTAGGTATTGTAGAAATAATAAGCAAAATGCCAATAGACCTAGAAAGACATTCTATCTGATGTTCATAGCATCGTATACGATAACCATACATGTCCTTTTTATCGACTGATTTATAAATGCTGCGTCCTGACCATAAAATCATTTTATGTTACACACTCACAATCAGAAAAGATATATGGTATTACATAGATAGACAGTATCTACTGCATTTATATATCTTTGGCTAGAGCAAATGTTTATACATTTTATCCTCTAGACTCTAGATAAATGATTAATTATGCAATTAGCTACGAATATATATTATTATTAAATTAACATAAATTTAAACATATACCAGTAGTTAATTCATCATCCCCATATCTGCCGTTAACTGTCTACTGTTGAACATAGGCCTTTCCCATAGACTACCATAAGAAGGCAGGAACAGTTGATAATTTTACTGAAAAGATAGGTAGTAATTGTCTTAATGTATGTAAAACCAGTAATGGAGGAACGCAATATTTTTCTAGTGTACTTACAAGTAAAACATAATGAAATCAAAGAATATCATAGACAAGTCCGCAAGAATTTTTTTATTATAGTATAGGATAGACTTGTCATAAATATAATCGTAATTTATATTGCTAAGATAACGTAGTCCGCTAATAAAGTGTCAGATAATGATTAATCCACGTGTGAAAACAGTGTCACATTTTAAGCATAGACTAAAACTCAGCTGACGTCCTAACTACGAGTATTTGTGTTTAAATTACGTATTTTGGTTTTGAATAATACACTTAATTATTATACGTATATTTTACAAAAGGTTTTTCTTGAATTTACTGTGTTGAATGTTATAACGAATTGTAAAGGTACGATGATTATTAGGTTAAAACATAGCTTATTGCTCGTGCGTGAATTTTCTCTTATTCACATGGGAATTACCAAAAACCCTTTCGTTAGTGTAAACCCATTAACGTCCCATTGCTTGGGATAACTCACCTTCTAAAACAGTATATATATTCATATATCAGTATTATGTCATCACGCTGACAATTTCTGTACAATATTTTAGTGATTAACGATGGTAAAAACATAAGAAATCTATGTGCAGTCTTTAGATAAAATAGATTTTTACAGTATGATCACATATATAGGTGACTAGAGAGGATGTATACTAAACCTAAAAACAGGGTATCAGCGTCAACACTGGGAATATTTTTTTGTTGTAGTTATGTTTTATAAAATATATAAAATATTTTCAATGTTGCAAATATAAGTGATCTTTAGTTGGATATTATTACCTCCATCGCCTATTCCATTTTTATATTGAACAGCTTTTGACATTTATTTAGGTACATGACATTCTGTCTAAAGCAACCGTAATATCACCAATATTTTATAAACGAGTTCCCATTTATAATAGGCTGAAAAAGCACAAAAGAGCCGCTTGAGAATCGACTCTTGTATTATGTAAAATATATGTTGGTATCCGGATCGTAACAATATCGAAATAAAATGATGGATTTTTTTTAATAAAATGTTTTCACGTGCTTTTATATTCATAATCATAAAGTTGCTCAGGGTTCCTTTTCACTTCGAGCGAGGCGAACGACAACGAGATGAACCTATTGATAACGTTGCAATTTGTGTATTAATTTGTTTCAAACAAAAATCTTCCAATGTAACGGAAGAAAAAAGGGACTATTCATATTTTTAAATTAACTTAACATTTTGTTTACCATAAATGCTATCCCATGAAGAATGTTGTTTTAATATCTGTTGAAAACTATTTTTGTTTATTAAATTTATGTCATTCATCACTTTCCAAATTTAAATTATAATGGAAATACCGGATGGTTAAAATCAGTTTGGCTGCTTCTGTTTTGCAGTGGAGTGACACCATTATACTGGGTGCGCGGGTTACACCATTATATCTCATTGATTCTGACGATACAAAAATGACTTCACAATTGATACAAGCGGCCGCTCAACTAGCAATAATTGACTGCGTCGATCGCTATTGGCGCTAGCAATTCCTTTCAGACCGTAATAATGTCATTTATTATTTTATATTGTTTCATTTCAATGAATAAATGTGAATATGTCGGTCAATCAATGGGGGCCTGTTTATTTTCAGTAACCAATAATGTGGAGAAGTTATTTGACACACTTGGCCAACGGTTACATTCGGAGAAACGTATTGGTTACCAATGTCCTCGGTTATTTCTATTCCTCTGTAAAAGATAGGATATATCGCGATAAAATGTACCTATAGTTACGTCTAATTTTAAACTACGATATTTTAAACGCGTTTATAAATAGAATAGGAGTTGAATGAATACCCGTAGTTGTTTGAGTTAAAGACAATCATTTTAAATTAGTAAAGTGACGTATTTTATAACATCAGTAATTACCATAGTTACATACATACTAGAGATACATTCTTCATATAATGGGTATTATCATCATCATTATTATTTGTGACGTGCATATAATAAATATATTTGAGTTATAAATGATAATGCAATTTCTATTTGATTGTAGTAAACATTAACTTTGCCTGTGCTTTTCATTGATCCATTATACTACAGTAACCTTGACCTATGCGTCTACAAAATCGATGAGTTTTGTATTACTCGCCTAATACTATGTATAATATTATTTTATGTAACCGGATAATAGGAAATTCAGATGTTCGTGAACGAGAGAGATGCAATTTTACTCGTATTTTTTTTAACGAATAAGGTTAAGAACATAGCTTTTAGAGCCTTCTAAAATAAAACTAATTAAATATTCTATCTCGACCTCAATGAGACTGAAATCAATTTAAGCGTCGGTCGGTATAAATTCAATATACCTATTTAATTAAATTCAGTGCTACTTATTTCAAAGGAGTTTGCGTTGTTTAATTTTATCGTAGAACGAATGAGATTACAGAATCGATTAAGATTTGTTTAAATTTCACACAAAATATTATAAAACCAATCCAATAAAATTATTGTTAACTCTTAATAATTTGTTATTTTAATTCAAAATTATTAATATATTATTTATTTATATTATATTACTGATTTATTAATATAATAATAAATAAGTCATCTCCTCTCTTTAAGAGAGATGTGAATTTTGTAAAAATTAAAAAAATAATAATAATAGATTTATTTATTTTCTCCACAAATTTTACAGATTTTTTTATTACATCTATTATGTAGATGATATTCTTCAAATTTAATTATAAAAATGCAAAATATTTTTGTACTGAATAAGTTTTTGTACACACTTCTGTAGAAGTTAACAGCTTTTTCTATAAATTCTAGATAACTTTCCTTAGATCTTCAATACAATTTTAAATATAAGTTAATAGTAGAATAGATATAATATTATTTCATATATTTCTTTATTAAAAGGTAAATCCAAAATATCCTTTAGTATCATGATATAACATTTACAATATTTACTTTTTTTATTGATTTATTGATTTATTTATTTATTAACCAAATTTCATTTATGTTACAATTTACAAAGTTACAAAAATAAATATTAATGATTGTTAATAAATTAAATTAACAATAAGTCCAAATTGTATTCACATTTCGTATCTAAAGTTTGCAGCATTTTCACGTTGGATTATATTTTAATTATTTTCGTCAACGCAAGCAGCAATAATGCTGGACGTCCGTCAGATATATTGGAGTTTAAATTTATTTTATTATATAAGTATACACTAATATGGTTAATGCAAATTTATAGCTAGACAAATGTTTATTTATGACTTCACTCCCTTCGAGTGTTTACGTTCATTCGAGCAGTAAGTAGACGCGATATTACTAATAAATAATAAACTTGTCTGGATATTCTTATCTGAACAAATTACGTATATTTTGATATATATGTCTGTCTAGAGATTATGAATTAATAGATGTGTCTTGAGAAACAATATGTTTTTTGGTAATGAAAAAATAATGCGAAGTGCAGTTTTAGTATCAAAATAGGTTGATGTGAGTTTAAATGAAGGAGATTATAATCTATTAGGTATCTACTAAAATTGGATAGAATCTCTTAATCAGCTAATCAGTTGGTTAGATAAGTCAGAAATCTAATAATACACATTTTCTAGAAAGCATATATTTTCTATTTATTTTGGATAAAGGGATAGAGTATTTCCGATTATTATACTCATTCATTTATTTTGATTAACGTTATTTAATTTAATGTCAATTAATTTAATAATTTCAATGATTAATATATCATTATTTCAATAAAGTGTTTATTAAATGCTTATAAGTTTAAAAATATATATTTAATAGATATAATGATAGTTTTAGATTCCGCAACGGTTGTTAGATACCGTTTCTAAATAACTTTGATGAGGTGTCATACATTTAATTATAATATCGTTGTCACTGGAGTTGGACACTTGAGGTGATAATATCTAAACAGCGATCGGAGTTGGCAATTGGCCAATGAATATTTAGAAAACGTCACATCGTCAATGCGCTTTGATCTACGCCCAAAACTTATAGTTTGTTTAATTTTAATTAATGCAGATATTTTTATATTATTCTATTTCTCTTTGATTATAGATTAAATTATTATTTTTATCATGTGAAAGAAAAAATATTTGGTCTCATATTGAGTGAATCGCTAGCATTTATCTAAAGTGGCAATTCGCACAATAGTATTTTATAAAAATAAATAAAAATGATAGATAATTAGATGGTGATTTTGAATATAAATAAAACGACATCAAGTGGAATTCATTTTCGGATTCAAAAATTAACTCTTCCATCTCCTCGTACTTTAACTCCTTTCCTTGATTACTTTGAACTACTAGTTTAAAATACGACTGACATATCGATACTCTAAACTTATCTTCTAAATTTGAAGACTGATAGAACTTTTTTACTCTACTGTTGTCCCTGTCCTTAAAACAAGTGCCAAAGAGAACGGGAACCACCAAACCTTGACTGGGTAAGTTTGTGCTGCGTGAAATTTGAAGTGTGACACGAATGGTGATCATAGACAGCGAATGTGCAAACGTGTGCCTGTGCACGTGTGGTAGTGTGGCGTGTGGCGTGGGCGCCTTGGGTCGGAGGGCGCGCAAAGCACCAAGGTGGTCGGAGGCGGGGTGTTCCGTTGCTGCGTGCCCTTGTGTGGGGCGCGCGCGGCGGCGCCCGTCGACGACGCCGACTATGCCCTCAGGGAGGGCAGCCCGCAGCAAGCCCTAGACGAATATGGTGAGTACCTCATCTTGCAACATATGCACAAGAAGACATGGATGAAGATAGATGACGCATGCAAATTACGTGCATGCTTCGATTTAAAAAACATTAATTTCATATCAAGCCATTTGAAAATTCTGTTTTGACGATATCTATTATAAATATCTATATAAATTAAGCTAGTAAAACTGAATAGAAATATTATTCCAAGTGTACTCTTTAAGATACTACGTACGTAGTACGCAAATAGATATTAGTGAGTACATGCAGTTGCGGTATCTATTTAAATCCATGTCTGCATAATTAAATGAAATTTTGTAATTATAATGTGCGTGAATAATTTCAATAGTTTATTTGTAATTTGAGTTTATATGGTTGTGCTCTCACCGCATGTTTCATTTGTGACATTTACAAATATATAAGTCTGATTTAAGTAATTAATTATTTATCATATAAATGTAAATAAAGTAATCTTTTATTTATTTTAGGTTTTATATTTTGCTTTTTAGTCATTTTTTTACGAGGTATCAAAGTTTTGCTAAAGAATAAACAAAAAAAATTAACACAAAATACTTCTTTATTTTAATTTTTGAATATTACGTAGATACTTACCTACTGAAAATGCTACTTGGTTTCTATATATTTTTCATAAATATCTCCATTAGACGACGCGATTCAATACACAATAAGTAGGCCCAACTATATCGATTGTTTAGATATCTACTTGTACTACTAAATTGTAGTACGTCAAGAAGCAAATTATTCACTTAATTTCATGTAAAAAAAATTGGCTCGACCGATCGACGGCTTTACCGATCGTATGCGAATTCGTATCTTCAGTAGATATTTTAATTGAGTTATTATTTTAATAATAGTATGGTTATTTAATGAGTTTTTGTTATAATTTTTTATATACATATAAAGAATTAATATGGTCGATGGTCTTTGGATTAAACCGGAACGACGTCCTCCCTCAGCGCAATGCTTGGATTATGTATGCAAATAAAGTTAATGTAATAATGTCATCGTAATAACACTTTAACATTTTGAGGAATGGCGTAGAATAAAGTTATTTTTTTTCTTTTCATATTATTTAATATATATTAAATAAAAACTCAACGAAGATAATAAAATATTTTTTTGCAATTTTAATAATAGATTGCAAAGGATATAAGGAGTGCAATATAAAATTATATATATAAAGTTTTATACGTCTGTATGGGTCGATGAGGTCGATCGCACGTGAGGACGGATAGACGGATCGGAAGGCCGACCGTTCACTCTATCCGCACGGATAGGGTATAAGATTCGTTCGGCCTTTAAACCATTCTAATTTGTATCGATGTAATCATTAAACCCTTATTAGATGGAGCGATGACAGGGATAAAAAATCTATTACTTTTTACACTCCAAAAACTACGTATATATCAAATTTTATAATGAGCTGTCTAAGTCATCTAGAGGTAACAAATCCACTTTCACATTTATAATATTGGTAGGGATTATTTTATTTCACATTACACTTGTTGCACCTGCATTATATTGAATAGTGCAGCGCTGATGACATGAATGACGACGATGCGATCATGTTAGGTAATATGTCATGATGACTTTACATGTATCGATTTTCATTATTAGTTATTTATAGATTCACCTATTTTATATTATGTACATAATATGTCAATAATTTCGATCTTACTTTCCTATAGTCATAGATTCTATTCCTACATAGTACAAATATATTTATGTAAATATTTCTCAGCGTCTCAGAAATTATATGCAATAGTGATATAATCTATTGTATATTATTTCTCTGCTTGGTTTAGGACTAGATAGCGATATGCTCATAAACAGGTAGTACTGAAAATATTTGTCATGAAAATGAAATTACATCGCGCAATAAATAACTTAAACGCATTATATCTTGTCATTCCATCATTCTACCTAGTCAATCATTGATCCACTTGAAGCTGCCAGCGGTAATTTGCACAGTAAATTAACATTTATTTGCATTTATGAGAAATTTTAGGATATTTGAGGAATTTTGGAAAAGGAAGGCGTACATTTCCGTTGTGACGGAGTAAAATAGCATTTTTAATTCACTTTTTCCTGTAAAATACTGTATTATAATACAGTTTTGTATTATCCCAATATCTACTAATTATGAGGCCACGATTCGATTGATCGACGGACACGTCTTTCATTATTTATCTGACAGTTCTATTAATCAACTTAAAGTAAGAGGGCATTTGAGGGCATGGTGGTGGAGGCATTTATACATATACATATTAATAAATGATTGTTAGAAATGTTGGGCTCAAGTTTTTTTTTTTATTATAACGAAATGATATATACTTATCATTTTTTTGGTAACCATGTCTATAAATGGTAACTGATAGTGAGTAGTTAAAAGTTTATTTTATTGTTAATATTTAAAACATAAATATATTAATTACTTTTCCAGTTAAAGACTATAAAGAAATACGTATGTACTAGGTGCATACAAAATTTGTTTTTAGCAATCTTCAGGAGAAGAAGGGATATACGTTCGTATTTTATTTTTTTATATATATATATATATATATATATATATATATATATATATATATATATATATATATATAGTTTCTTCATTTAAATATCGGTTTTTAATTCGAAAATAAAATTAAAATATTAATGATTTCCTATAGTTTTGCAATGATTTGCTAATATTTATTTTTTAAAATATACGAATTCGATTTTAACGTACATAAATAGAAAACAGCGATATAACATTTTATCTGATTACATTAAAATCATGAAATGTGTGAATAACAATTCTTTGAAATATCCTGTGTAAATATTTTACTGAACTAGGTGTTATCTTGCGGAAGTCTATATCACTGCATATTTGATGATAATTATTTTGTTTAATCCGCTACCATTGTTATGTGCAACTACCTACATTCGAAGATTGACTACCACTATTACTACCAGAAGTTCCACAACCTTTCATATTAGCCATTAATCTCCGATTGCCATTTTGTTCACACCCGTTTTGTGCCACGTATTTCACTTCTAAATAATGTACGAGTATCTTCAGGTAAATTATTAATTCGCTACTCGGAGTCTACTGTTTATCTTGTATAGTTTGAAATGTGGAGATTGATATAATTATACATTATTATGTTAATTTTGTAACGGTTTTATTACTATTAAAAACAAACCCTGTAGTTGTATGGAAGTAAAAAGAAATATTAGAAAAAATATTGTATTTCTATCTTTAATAAATATGCAATATGCACTTTGATTTCTGTTTCATGTTGTCATTTTTTGAGCCTTATCAAATTGCAAAGAGGTGTATGATTATTTCATTGGCTTTACCAGTTTAGGCTGTGTATTGTCTGTCAATCGGTTAAAGTTATAATTTTGTAATGTAGATACTAAAGAGAACTTGTAAAACAGGCGTAACTTGCTCTTGTGAAACGGTGAAACATATTGATTTGATTGCCAAGTTCCACGGAGACGACGCGTCTTGGTGTTTATAGATCGTGTTTTCCTACCGATCTTACCCAGATTTCAACAGTATGTATGTCTACATAAACTTCAAAGATGACATTGAATGCGAAGGATTGGAAATAAAATTGTATACTGAGTAGATCTCGCTCATATAGCTTATATCCAGTATTTATATAAATGTATTTGTGTACTTTATCCGATACGTGCTGGGTATAAATTGTATTAAATGAATTGCAATTATCCATATTTCTGTGGAAAGTGAGTAAATTTTTTTTTAAATGTATTGATTTATTATGGCAATAGTGTTGATGAGCATTTGAATGACAATTTGCATATATATGTATTGATTTATTCTTTATTGCACAATAAAACTTTGTACAAATGGCGATTTGATCAATGTCGTTTAAGAATTTATACACCAAGATCTTAAAGAAGTAAGTACTTTAAAAAAAGTATACAAATCTTTATAACTTTTTCTTATAAAATTAGTTGAACTGTATATGATAAATAAATTAGATATTTTCTATTAGCGAAAAGTATTTACAAACAACAAACAAGAATTAAATGTTACATACGTAATATTAATTTATAATTTGTTTAGTTATAAAACTTTATTCTACAGTAAAAACTTAAATTATAAGATACAGAATTCTTATGAAGAGTAAAAGTAGGTATGTGAACTTATCTCACATAGGGATTTCTTCTAGTCCATCGTTTAATACCTGAGAGATATTAATTTGTTGCTCGTTTAGTTTTAATTTTATAAAACAAAATTGGTTCTTTACACTGCTGATTAATTAGTAAATCATGTTTCATTATATTTTGTCTTAGCTTCAATACATTTTACGATATAACATCGTTTTGTTTGTACTAATAAAACACAGATATAGATCCAAAGATATACATTACTACTATTATTATTTATAATTTAATTTAATAATTTATAAATTAATGTTTATTTTTTAACGATGTTGTAAATAAACAAACTACAAATGAACGAATGTACAGTGAACGATTAATTTACTATAAATTCATAAAATTCCGGTTATATATGTATACTACTTACCAGTAGTAAGTGGTTATTAATAAATATATACCACAATATAACAAATTTTTTACAATTTTGTTTGTAACGTATTTTTGTTTTCTACGTACTGTTTTTACTCTTTTATTACAGAATAAAGTAAACAAGTACATACAAAGAAATAATTTCATTTAAATATTATTTCTTACTGTTGTTGTTAATAACACAATTATTAGATACAATAATACGATAAATTTTTATGAAAGTTGACTTATTTTAATTCAATATTAAATAAAATTCTAAGTCCCTATTATGGGTGAGTTATTAATTTTTATAGTATTATTTTATCAAAACTTAACGAATATAATAAATTCAATTAGGAAACTTTATAGGTATCTGAATACTAGCGCTAGGTGGTTGATAAAATACCGTGATTTATTCGTAATGTAGGCAATCGTCTAAGAACTTTTTTCTCCTTTCCTTACATTTTTCTAAAAATATTCGAGATTTGCTATAATGGTGGTGAATTAAGTACATCTATACATTTCTAGAGATTCCCCTGTAAAGGCAAAATTGCAACTTTTTTAGTTATGAATAATTTATTTAATTTGTTTTACATCTATGTATAGGTTAGTTAGTTAGATAGTGTTTTTTCATTAGTATCTTTGTTATATTTTAGTATGGTTTAACCGACTGCTATAAAATTTGGTGTATACTTAGTAGTAAACTAACCTATCGAAATAGGACGTATGTAAATTTTTATGCATACCTACCCTGTTACGTGAACAAACTAGGTGGCAGAAATGAGAACGAAATTTATTTTTCATTTTATACCTATATTTGGTCGAATGTAAATACGAGTACGACGATTTGTTTTACAAAATTGTATTAACATGATTCAGTAAACAATGGTCGGAATACTATTTGGTAAGTATTTATAATGTCGTATTCGTAAATTATAATGCACCTTTTATATAAAAATAAATAAAATAAATTGACAAGAATCAAACCTAAAGCTTAGGTTATTTATTATTCAAATATTATAGATAAGTAGTAAAATTTATTTATTTGTATATGTAATGTAATTTCTGAAATTTTTACACTGAATAAATGTGAAAATGCTACAGTATAACTCTTTCTGTGGAAGGAGACTTCTTAAAACATCACCAAAGCTTAACTGCGGTTGCCAACCAGCATGCCAAGAGTGGCAAATGATGGCAAAATCCCCCTTTATGGGGAGGCTTATGTTCAGCAGTGGACAGTTAAAGGCTGATATGATGATGAAGATGATGAAAACTACAATATTATCAGTGACAGTGAGATGTGAATTGGATGAAACTAGAAATATTTAAAATGATTACGTCCTTACATATGAAATTGGCGTTTTGTATAGAGTGATTTTTTTTTGTAAAATATATTTAATTAATAAAAGTATGCACCGTTGTTATCTATGCACTTTTGCCCTGTCATAGGTAGTTCAATCAATAAACTCTTTGAAGACGGTATGGACTGCCGCATCGGAGTTGAATTTTTTTCCTTGTAAGAAGTTGTCCAAATTCCAGAAAAAAAGGTAATCTGTTGGAGCAAGGTCCGGGGAGTACGGTGAATTTCGTAGACATTCTAGTTATAGCTCGTCTAACTTAGTAGTTGTTTGTTGTGCAGTATGTGTTCTTGCGTTGTCGTAAAGCAGCAATGGTTTAGAGCGATTGACCAATCTCGGTTTTTTAACAGCTAGTTCTTCCTTCATGGTTTGCAGTTGCTGACAATAGATATCTGCTGTAATCGCTTGGCCAGATTTTAGAAAGCTGTAGTGAACGACACCGGCTAGTCCACCAAACACTTGCAAGTAACTTTTTCTGAGTAAATTTTCGTTTAGAGCAGGATTTGGCTGGGTTTTCAGGGTTCAGCTATTTCGACGAGCACTTCTGATTATCGTACAGTGTCCACTTTTCATTATAAGTAATGATTCGATTTAAAATCTCTTTATTATTGTGTCAGTTGAGCAAAGTAACATAGCAGTCGACGCGTGTTTGCAAGTTCGATTCACTTGTTAAAGTTTTTTACTTTCCCGATTTACTTCAAGTGGATTAATACAGTTTTATCCTTTACCCCAAAGCCTACAGCTATCTCTGAAAGTGCTTTGTGATGGATCTATTTCCACAATAGTCTTTAATTCTTCATTTTCCACTTTGGTGTCCAAGCGTCCACGGGGTTGGTTCTAAAGGTCGAAATTTTCAGAACGAAAACTTGGAACCAAAAACGGACCGTGCTTTTTTTTGCGACACCAGCGCCGTACACATCATTAATCTTTCGAGCTATTTCTGCAGCACTGGTCCTACGGTAGAACTCGTACTTGTAAATATACCGATATTTCATGTTTTCCATTGTGCGGTAATAAGCGATGCCAAAGAAAAAAATTATGAGGAAAAAACAAATGAATAACTATTTTCAAAACTCAAATACCAGCTAAATGAATTTATAAATTTGAATTTCGAATGTTTTACCAAAGAGGAGATATTTCAGATCAAAGTGGTCAGTACGATAAAACGCTAATTTCATATGTAAGGGCCTAATATTATTATTTAATTTAAAATTTATGATATTCGTTCATGACATTTTTGATACCGCTAATTTGATTTTTAATTCATTTTTAATATAAATTTTATAAATGTGTATCGTTTGATTCAATTTGAGAAAAAGGATAGTTTTTATCCTGATAAGAAAAAATGAACCGCATAGGTGGCGGTAGAAGGCAAAACAACGTTTACTGGGTCAGCTAAATAGGATATATATTTCTCATGTAAATTCTCATGGGAACATAAGATAAAAGGTCCGTGCCGGATCCTTGGATAAAACGGGTACAATATTTAGATAGCAATATTTATTTACCTTAAAAAAAAGAAATAAGTTATAGCCGTAGTAGCGAAAGATAAGTTTTAATTAATTGTTACGAAATTTAAGTAAGCATTATAATTTCAAATAGCCCTGACCTTTACTTACCTACACTATTTAGGTTATTATTTTCGGAAGCCGACCTCTTTATTTTTGAATAATTAATTATTATTTTGTAATATTTTTAAATTCTTTTACAACAATTTATCAACGTCTTCAAACCAATTTATCAAAAAATATTTTGTTCTGTATTCTATGAAATATTGAAACTCGCAAAAATTTTTTATACTACTGTGTACTAGTTTTTGGACTTTAAAGTTTATTAAAAAAATGATATGTGGAACTTTTGTTTTAGTTTTAGTAGAACATAATGACCATAGATTTTAACAGCTTATATTATATTTTTAAAAAGTTCACTATATACGATTTTAAACTAAAAAAAATTCAATTTATAGAACTTGTAAATCATTTTTATTTTGTTGTGGTTATACAGTTGCCATTTATTAGATTGTAGAATATATATAGTAGAATATATTTTTTACTTCAGACTGAAATTCAGCCGTATTTTGGTTCGTTTAAAAGGAGGACATGAATGGCCATTCAAACACAAGTACTTACAAGTTAGAAGCACCGGTTGGACATAGGTTTTTTTTTTAATAAAACTTGCTATGGCGAATAAGCTGATATATATACATCATAGAATACTAGTGTACTCTGTATGTACCATAACATAGTTTTCACCGTTAACGGCTGGGGTTCGAGAAAGATGTACCCATGTAGATGAGTTTGTACAGTCTCTCTCTGACAACTAAATCATATTATTAATTATATAATCGACGGTAATCACTTTTCGTTAGGTATATCACAGGAATTTTATCCGCTGCCAGTAGCGTGCAGTGTATTGTTCGTATAGATAGATTACAATATCGATTAGTCGATGAGCTTTCGGGTGAATAATTAAACGTGTATGAGTACATTGGATCCGGCGCGTTGCCCGACCTCTAATTTCTCAGCCGATTAACTCTGTGTGCGCTCTCACCACCGATGGTATGTTACGCGTCTTTTATACCCTGTTTTATACTTTATCACTCATAATATAAGGTTCAAGAACACCATCTGTAGGGTGGTTGCAAACCACTAATATTTACCCATATGCAAAACCTGTTTCGCTTATACGCTACACAATAAATCCTGCTTAAAACTTTGACCACACTCAGGACGTGTTATGTAAAAGAGGATTCGTACTGAGATTTCACTTTATTTTTCGTCATTATCTCCTTCTCATTTTTAAGGGTTCGGTTTGGAGATCATTGTCCTTTGAATATAACGAATACAAATACAAACAATCAGTAAATTACAATTGGCAAGGAAAATCATTGCTTTGAAAAAAAAGCTTTGTTGTTTCATGTGTTTTGTATTAAAAATATATTCATTGTCTACACAATGTTGTAATTATCAGTGATTGTAAAAATAATAAATTTATTATTTTAGCCCTCCATCTAGCACTATTCTAATAGCTCTGGTAAAAATTATATCTTTAATACAAGTGTAGTTTTTTTATGTTGCGTAATGGTTTTTATAGGGGGGAAAGGGATTGTTAGTAATGGAGGCTGAGAATCCCATTGCTAGCAATATACCCAACCAGGACCTCCTCGCGGTACTCCCTGGAAACTATCATGGTTAATTCTTGATGAATTCATCATGATGGGCTAACTGGCCTGTTTGCATTCCCATCTATCACCCTTCACTGGTGCTCCGCCAGCGTATCCCGTTAGCGCAGGTGGGGTTACCATACCATTTTCACCCATAAAAACAAAAAATGGTTTTTATAATTTTATTCTTTACACTAATATAGCACTGTTAATAAATGGAGAATATTTCAATTAATTTTTACGTATATTTTAGGTTACCGGAGGTATCTTGTTGTTCAATAAAGTGTTCGTCTGTGGGCTGAAATATGTTATTATTGTCAATAACAGTACTGGTATGAATATATATTTCTGTTATTATCACATTTTCAATACTTAAATGTTATTTCGAGGAAGTTAAACGATCCTAACCCGACATAATGATAATAATGGGCAAGCAAGTTACGAATATGAAGTTTCTAAAAATAGCAGTTATAAGTATGTTTCTCATAAAAATACTATAAATTATCCATTAATACACATTATAATAAAATAAATCCAATGTAATCTTATATTGTTTATAAGGCATAAAACAAAAGATATATTACTTTAAAGAGTGTCGGTAAAGAACTATTCAGGGCGCGCTCTTATTTTAATTTCATAAAGAGTTTATATGTCATAGATTTTATTTGACATTGTATAACCTTATATAATTTATTTTGTTGCTTACTTTATTTAATATCGTCATTTAGCAAAACTTTGATATATCTATGTATGTGAATGAATTTCCTCTCCATTCCAGACGTTGTTTGTTGAACGTCTCTATTGCTTGTTTGCAGTCGCCCCAGAGCCTGTAATAAGCTCGCCGCGTCCGATCGGTCAACAATCTCCTTTACCGGGGATCGAGGAAGAAGACGATTCCGATTGGCCGTTGGAAGACGCAACGGACGTGACTATCACGCCTTCGTACAAGAGTACTAAAAGTAGCACGGATACAGCTTATACGTCATCTAGGAGTTCAGGGAAGAAACGTTTTGGAAGCCCATCATCAGTGAAGATATGCATATCAGCAGCGGCTAGGAAGTCCAATAAAGCCCGTAAGCGTGGCGCCGCGGTTTCGTCGGCTGCGCAGGCCGGCGAAGAAGCCGCGCCCACACTTTTGCCCACACACGGCAGGATGCAAGCCGAACAGGGCAGCATCGGGGAGCTGCAGAAGTACCATGGCAGGTACCTCAAGAGCCGGCGGCACACTTTGGCTAATGTTCGGTGAGTCTGTAAATAATATTTTTATTAGGCCGCTGTGAAACATCCATCAGTATTTTATTTTCGTTAGACACAATCAATTGATATAAATACTATCTAATTATACTGTTTATGAAATAGCAGTGAATCTATAAATATGCTAATTGGTAGTTATAACTCATTTGTAACCGCGCAAAATAGTTTAACGTAAATTGAAGAAATGATTTGCAAGTGTGTTAGGTTATTAATAATTATTAATGAATTATATTGAAAAGAAAATTAGTTTTTTTTTCCTGTATATAGAAGAGTAAATGAAATGAAGAAAATCACAACTTGCAGATATTAAATTCTTGATGGTTCGTGGTCCTTTATTTAGATACACACACTTTACATTTAATGAATGACGCTATTAAATGCAGTTTATTAAGGAAAAGTAAGACAAGCCAAGACATTAACGTATTGACGAACATCCGTTTTAGTTAAATAGATAATAATTAGTTTCATGATTAAGCATAAACTTAACTTTATGTATGTATATTTACATAATTTTATCATAAAAACGATATACTTATATACATACACATACTTATGATATTATAAAAATACACATTTTACGTAGTTTAATTTTTAATTAAAACATTCTAAATGTAGCCAATATAGATATATATATATATATATATATATATATATATATATATATATATGTAGTAGTAGTGGCTGCGGCAGCATATGCCTGTGAGCCATTCTTATTTACCGTACTTACAATGCAATGAGGTAGAGTCATGTTATTTATTATTTCTTTATTATCTGTAAAACTTATGATTTATTTATTTTGATCTTATGGAGGAATAATGAATGAAGGCTAAGGTAAAGGGGCCTAGTTTTAAACTGAGGAAGCTATCCGTTTTAGTTTTCGCAAAAAAAAAAATATAAAAAAGGTACTGAAAAAATAAACAGAAAATAAATAACGTCCCCATTTTCCATATTAAGATTAGTTTTTTCATTATCTGTGATATCATTTTAATTTACTTTAAAGAATAGAATCAAGTGAGATTGTACGATAAATTAATGTAGGAGAATCTCTATGAGAAATTCAATTTCACCAGTTCTTATCTGGAAATGAAAAAAGAAATGAGAAGCTTTTGAATATTTAGAACTCATGATTATCATCTAAAGGAAAAAATAAAAGCATAAAGAATGTAAAGTGTGTTTAAAATGAACTTTTTTTTATCAATTTGTTATATAGTTTTAAAAATAAGTTAATAAATAAAATAAAAAACTACATTATAAAGACAGCAACCATTTTATAAACACAGTGGAGAGAACTTGTTGATAATGAAGATTTGAGATATTTGTTGTGATAATATAAAAAAATAAAAATAAAAAATAAAATTAAAAACACTATAATTGTATCAGTAACAGTTGATAGTGACAAGATGATTAATTCGTAGCTTAGTAACATTAAGTTATTAGTAGGCTCTGACCGTGTTATTATGTCACAATAGTGGGTAATATTGTAATGAGCTAGATTATTAGTTACACACTATTCTTCAATAATTTTCCCATCATTATTAAGTTTATTGTTGTTAAGTTTTACTTACCTACAGTAAAATTAGCATCACGAGTACATTGTTTTTAAAATGAACATCGGGCATCCTCGTTATGTTGGGATATTAATGAAATATGCAAATAAAAAATATTTAGTAACATTAATTATAATATAGGGTTAGGATCAATAAGATTTCTTTATATATATTATCATCAACATTATCATATCAATGATTAACTGTCCACTGCTGAACATAGGACTCCTCCATAAACTGCCATAAGGAATGGTTAATATAAAATAAAAAGGTATGCCTATGTATTTATTATAGAAAAGCGAGACCAACTTCTACGTTTTTTTATGGTTATAGTATGAAGTTATAAAATAAATAATAAATATAAATGAATAAAAAGGAGATGATATAGAAATAAACGTATTTTCCTCTTATAATGACAATATATGTATATAGTTGCTGTAGTTTGTATTATTATAAATCTGTAACACCCAAAAGCATCACATATGCGTTGCCAATTCCGATTGAAATTTATTATGCCCTTTTTGATGGTTTTGTTGTAGATTAAAATTTTATCGAATACTTATAATTTAAAGTTTATATTCAGTCTTTTTGTCATTCCCAATGATTCTTTTCATGTATTTTGTGAATCCTCTTATACAGGGCCGTAGTTTAAGGTAGGGCAGAAGTCATAATGAAATGATTTCGAAAAAGCAAATTTATTTAATTTTCTTGGGGTCTTTTATTTTAAGGTAGGGCATTGGCCGTATGATTCCGGCATAAAATAGGCCACCCCATCCTATCCCGTGGGAGTCGTAAGAGCCGACTTAGAGAGGGTGAGGGGTGGGCAGCAGCGTCACTTTCAAAACATCTCTAAAACCTGGCTGCGATTGTCAACCCACCTGTCAAGCGTGGCAGCTATTGGCAAAACCCCCCAATGGGAGGCTTATGTTCAGCAGTGGACAGTTAAAGGCTGATATGATGATGATGATTGGACCTTTTATGGTAGGGTATTGTCCCACAATGCTCTCTCCCCCCACCCTCTCGTAGCTACGACTATACTCTTATATATATATTATTCTTATCGAAACCAAGTATGGCTATCTTTAAAAAGCTTTTACAAAAAACAGGTACTTACTTATTATGCGTTAGCAGTCTGTTTTCTGAGATTAAAGATAAACAGACTTAAGAAAATGATATTCTAATTTATCCAAACCACTTAACATTACGTCGACATTTTTTTATCTATAAGTACTATTATATTAAAATAATCTTTTAGCTTTATGATGTTATGTAATAAATATATTTGTATATATTTACAAAAAGTATTGCTAACTTATATGAGCATTAAATTAGATTTGTCGAAGTTTTTGCATTTACAGAAATTGTTATGTAAAAAAATCTGTAAAAGTTCGGTTTCTGTGCATATAATAATTTTAAGTCATCTCGATTGAAATTTTAGTAATTTTCATAATATTATCACATCTTGTATTTGTAAATGTGAGCACCGGAAAACTTTTGGTGTATGTAGTATGGATTATCTATAAAATCCAATAGTACTAAACACGGAATACCCCTATATTTTATCGATTTATTTGGCATTTTATCTCATTAATCTCACTAATATAAAAAAATCTAACTAAACGATGTCTGCACATGGGATATATTTAAGAAAAAAATGATACGAGGGGCTTTAATAAAAGTAATAACATAGAAGCCAAAATAATACTTATAAAAAATGTTGTTTGTCTGTCTGTCTGTCCGTATGTTTCTTCTGCTATCACGCAAAAACTACTGCACCAAGGTGTGTACGTTGGACGTGATTCACACTTGTATCCCTGAAGGTTAAACTTAAAATCTGCTGTATGTTTCATCTTGATACACTAACTAGAAATAGTATATTTAATTGGTTTTCCTACTTCTGAAATCTACGCTTACGAAGCAACGGGCAAAAAGTTAGTATTGATTAAAGTTATCCTACCTAATTGACTTGCGTAAAAGTAAATTAATTACTCTGTATAGGTGTTACTTATAACGTATATTATCTTTTATTAATCCTTTGAGATAATAATTTACTTAGTAAATATGATAAAGACGAAATTTAGGTACAGGAGTATATAGTAACTTCATGTTGTTGAGAGACCTATATGTAGACAAATTTTATTATTGGATATAAACGTTTATTTATAAACTTCAAAGCTTTGATCACACGAAAGGGCACGTGTACTCGTATATTAACAGTTCCGTTAATATTAATAGATATATAATTTCTTTAATTAATAACATAATTTGTGGTTTATTTAAAAAGACACATTTATCTTTTAGGTAGTACTAGTAGAGACTACATCCGTTTTTGTAGTAGTATTGTAATCTTATTTCTATTAATATAATAAATGCAAAAGTTTATAAGAATGGTTTGTATATATTTTATATTGATGGATGGATGTTTGTTACTTTTTTCTGCAAAAACTATTGAACGCATTTAAAAAAGTCGATATAGGGGAAGGTTTTTTTACTGGGTGATAATGGAATGGTAACTCCGCCCGCGGTGTCGGTATACATTGGCGGGTGAGTACCAGTGAGAGATGATAGGAGAGGATGAAGGTCAGTTAGTCCATCGTGACGAATTCAACAAGAATTGTTCATGATGGTTACCAGGGGAATCACGTCGAGGTCAACCTAATAAGGTGTATTGCTAGCAATGGGGCTGTCAAACTCCATTGCTAACCATCCCGTTCCTCCCCATACGGGAAGGCTATATCCTTATTTAGCGCTAGGCATGGTTAAAATCGATACCACTCTAATATCTATATATTGGGTTCGTCTAGATATTAATAGTGGAAAAAGGTCATACCCATTTTGATATCGCCCATACTGGACGGATATCTATATTAATTTCAACTAAAATTTTTATTTCAACATTATATATTGTATGAGAGACCATATTTGTTATTGAACCGCTACATAGAACCACTGTTACAAAAATTTATAGCTATTGCTATGTATTACCAATATCGACCCACTCACCCTTAATTAGCGCATATGACTCTTTATGTACTAATTCACCCGAGCGAAGCCACGGAATACAACAATAACATAAATGCCGTATGTGTAGTAACATCATTACATACAATATATGCAATATACAATATATTACCTAATCTTCTATTACAGCAGTAATGTTTAATAATTTAGTAAAACATGCGATTTGGTTTCTATAAAATAATACTTCGAAAACTAACTCGTTTTTCGTTATTTTGTATAGCAAACTAAAAGCCCTTAATAAAGAATTTACTAAGTGGATTACATTCATTTAAATAACAGGCCTTATCTTTTTGATGGCTTACCTCAATCAGATAACCGCTTTTAGACTCGTTAATTTGTTGTTAACTGTTTGTTCCTAGATGACTTTTTCATTTATCGATTATAGTTTAATAGAACAATAGTTTAGTAGGAATTAGGTAT